TCTCGAGCTCGAGGCGGTGTCTCGGGCTAGAAAGATCCTCCGGTGCAAGAGGCGCTGTCTCGAAACACCACAACCCGATTCTCCGGTCGAGGCGTTGTCTCGAACACCATTTCCTGGCCGTCCAGTCGAGGCGTTGTCTCGACAAAACCCGGTGAAAGAGGCGTTATCTCGGATACTATCCTGACCGTCCGGTCGAGGCGTTGTCTCGACAGAACCCAGTGCTAGAGGCGTTGTCTCGAACACCATTTCCTGGCCGTCCGGTTGAGGCGTTGTCTCGATCATCACCGCCGCTCCGGCCAGTGTTGCCAGATTCTTAAATCGTCTTTTCCCAACTAGGCTTGCCAAAATTCCCATTATTTCCCATATTTGTTTATTTGTACAAAATGAACTACACTCGATCCAATTAGAGAAAAGAATTTTACTGCGCATAGGAGAAGAAAAGCGGGCAAAGTAGGAATAGCGTTGCGTGCGGGATTGGTAGAACACTTGCTGACAGCCAATGGCTGTGAAGTAAGAAGACTTTTTAGTAGGGAAGGTGCGCGAGTTTTTGTTCGTCGAAATTCTCTTCTCTAATTGAATCGAGTGTATTCTTACCTGTGATAACTACTTTTTCAACATAACAGTCCAGGGCTTTAATTCTTGAAAAACTTTTGTATACGAAACGCTATTTTTAATGTCACATGTACTATATTGTTGGTTCTAAAAGTAAGAACAAAATCACGTTTGATTGCTACAAAGCAACTTGTTCTGCTTGCACGCGGACAATACACCAAATATAAGAAATTAAGTTGTGACTGAATTTCATATCGTTATTAAGGCAATTAGGATACTTACATGGTTGTCACCAATTGGATTCCCCTCAACTAAATAGGAAAATGTTGCAGATAATGATTTTTTATAGAAAAAGTTCTACGATACAGTCGTAAGCTGTAAGTTGTAAGAAATTGACCACTCACAGACAAATCACAGAAGAATACTTGATTGTGATTGGTCAATTTCTTACGACTTACGACTGTATTGTAGAACAGGCCTTAAAGGCCTTTGCATATAAATCGCCGTACCGTACATATCGTAAGAATTAACCAATCAGAATGCACCCCATATCCTTACCACTTTCAGATGTGGAAATTTTTAATATAATTGGTCAATTCTTATGTTACGGCTACGGCAATTCATATGCGAAGCCTTGACTAACTTTTAGTCGACCTTAAAGCTTGTTTATGACTATCTGCCACGGTACGACTTTTATGACCGTTACAATGTCTTTTTTTCATCGTCAAGGCCTTGACGATGTAAAATTTTCTATTTTTAGGTGTTTTTTGGAAAAAACTTCCTATTTTTCCCTTTTGGTTTTAAGTGGTCGAAAATTCCCACAATATGGGAAATTTCCCTCGATCTGGCAACACTGGCTCCGGCGCACATCCTCTCTGTCGGCTCCACGAGCCCGGAGAAACGACCGTTGTCACTGTCACACCGCGAATCAGTCGTTTTCACGACTCCTTACAGTCGTTCGCACGGCTCCGAGACATCTCTCCCACGTATACAGGGTGCGTCGCCAAAATCCGGACAAATTTCAATTTGATATTCTCTCCGTTCAGTACCATTGGCAGATGTCGCAATTGGCATTCAAATAGCTTGACGCATGTACTAAACTACCATAACTTCGAAACAGTCGCAATGTTGAAACCCAGTGCGGAGTACAACCGAAGAGCCGCGATTATCGAAAGTATTCGCGCCGGGCGCTCG